AAAAAAAAAAAAAGAATAGAAGAAAAAGTAGCCAATGTACTCAGTCTTACTATGAAACCAATTTAAGTTATAACCCAATTATAGCCCAAGAAGTAGGGAAAAGGGGAGAAGGAGGGTGGGGGGAGGATGGGTGGAGGAAGGGTAATTGGTGGGACCACACCTACAGTGCATCTTCCAAGGGTACATGTGAAATTTACTAGGTACAGAAGTCCTCAAACTTTTTAAACGGGGCCAGTTCACTGTCCCTCAGTCCATTGGAGGGCCAGACTGCGGGCCCCAGGACAAGTCCACTGCTAAGCAGGACAGGCAGCAGCAGCAAAAACACCCAGATAAATGTCCTCAGTGAGCCACATGTGGCCCGCGGGCCATAGTTTGATGACCCCTGTATAGAATATAGAAAATGCCGTGAAAGCTATGTTGACCAGTTTGATTAAAGCATTTCAAATTGTATGTAAAACCAGCACATTGTACCCCATGATTCCATTAATGTATGCAGCTATGATTTAAAAAAAAAAATGAAAAAAAAAAAAACCTTTCTTAGAAAGTCAGCTATGATTATTACAAAGTATAACTCTTTTTATTTTTCCTGACGCAGAGTCTCACTCTGTCATGGAGGCTGGAGTGCAGTGGTGTCAAAGCTCACAGCAACCTCAAAACCCTGGGCTCAAGTGAACCTCCTACCTCAGCCTTCCAAGTAGTTGAGTATAATGGCACATGGCACCACACCTGGCTAATTTTCCAGTGGTTTATAGAGACAAGTCTTGCGATTTCCCAGGCTGATCTTGAACTCCTAGGCTCAAGCCATCCTCCTCAACCTCTCAAAGTGCTAAGATTATAGGCATGAGCTATTGTGCCACCCCTAGAGTATAACTTTAAAATAATCCCTGTGGCCAGCGCCTATAGGTTGTTAGTAGCTAGGGCACCGGCCACATACACCCAGGTTGATAGGTTCAAACCCAGTCCAGGCCTGCCAAACAACAATGGCAACTACAACAAAAAAATAGCTGAGTGTTGTGCTGGGAGCCTGTAGTCCTAGGTACTTAGGAGGTTGAGGCAAGAGAATCGCTTAAGCCCAAGAGTTTGAGGTTGCTGTGAGCTGTGATATCCGGCACTCTACCGAGGGCAACATAGTAAAACTCTGTCTCAAAAAAAAAAAAAAAGAAAAATACTCCTTGTGTATCTGTGAGAGAGGATGGGCAAATATTACTTTTCCTTTGTCTTCTACTTTGAAAAATTAATTCTGTGAGCTAATACTGACTTTTTAAAAAATCTGAACCTTTATTCACAGTGGAAGAACTCAGAGACAACTAGTAGATTATTTCAAAGATGGTGGAACAAAGAGAATTCCTTATGAAAGGTGAGTCACGCTCTTTATGATGTTAAAGGTGTATTTTAAAATTGGTATTTTGAGTATTTTTGATCTTTACTTGAATAAAAATAATGTCAAATACATAAATGTGTATTTTGGCACTTGAATTAAGTTTCCATTTTTTAAAGACAATGGATTTATGGCTTGGTGCCTGTGGCTCAAGCGGCTAAGGCGCCAGCCACATACACGTGAGCTGGTGGGTTTGAATCCAGCCCAGGCCCACCAAACAACGACGGCTGCAACCAAAAAATAGCCGGGCATTGTGGCGGATGCCTGTGGTCCCAGCTACTTGGGAGGCTGAGGCAGGAGAATCACTTGAGCCCAGGAGTTGGAGGTTGCTGTAAGCTATGATGCCACAGCACTCAACCTAGGGCAGCAGCTTGAGGCTCTGTCTCAAAAGACAATGGATTTATATCTTTATGTAGACATTGTGTACATTTATAGATATTAATTTTTGTCCTCTATATAGTTTAGTTTACATATAATGTTTTCACACAACATGGTAAACTTTTAATCTGAAAATTCATAGTGTTTCTCTGCATGTCCATTTTTCCTTTAGTGTGGTGTTTAATTTTGAGGTATCTTTTTAATTTAAATTCTAATTTTATGTTATCCTGCCCCTTTCTAGTTAGATGCCTCTGTCTTAGCCACATTTTTATGTGAGGTACAGTATGTGCTTGCTACTTTAAAAACAGGTATTGAGAGGAGGCAGGCTGGATTGCTCAGAGCTTGTTGTCTGTTTTGTAGAAGGCACAGCAAGACTCCGATGTCTGTCCGTGCACTGACTGCAGAGGTGCCAAAACAGGTCAGTCTTTTCTGGATAAAATATAGGCAGTATTAATTACCTCCAGTCTTTTGGAAAATAATCTGGCAATTTTATAACAAGAGTCTTAAAATTAGTCATATTGTTTAATAGCAATTCCAATTTGGGGACTCTATTTTCAGAAAAGAGAAGGAGTCCTAATTAAAGAGAAAAGCTTTGTGCACTGAGGGGCACATCATAATGTTATCTGTAATATATACTTCCAAGTCCTAAAAACACCATCTTGACCAGATGACTTAATAGCAACATTTTTAGCTGTATTCATTTAGTGGGATTTTTTTTGTTACCAGTAAAAGCACTGCTTATAAAGAATCTGTAGTAACATGGGGAAATTCTTGCTGTTAAAATTGAAAACCAGCAAACAAATTTGTATATATATGTGTTTGGCATAATTGCAACTATATCAAAACAAAGATCACACATATTGCACAACACTTCATAGGAAAATATTTGGCAAGAATGTCCTAAAATGTGCCATAGCTGCTCCCTGCCTCCCACAGACCATTGTACTAATACTTCACCATAGTCCCTTCCCATTTTCATGTTTGCCCGTTAACTTCCTCATACAAGCATGTTTTAAATTTTTTTAAAAACAGGCAACGCCTCAATCCATACCACCAAATAAGCATTTCCCAGAAGTATATTTTTACGTAGAACCTGTTTTCATATAGTCTGTTGTGACTTTTTCCTCATGCTGCTGCAGTTTCATATTTATAGTTTTGATTTCCACACAAAGTTCGTTTTTGTTGATGGTTTATCATTTATAATCTCATAGAATTTCTAGGAGCTACACTTGGACCTTGTGTATTAAAGCTAAGCTTTTTTATTAATGAGTCTTTTTTTTTAATTAAATCATAGCTGTGTACATTAATGCAATTATGGGGTACAATGTGCTATTTTTATATACGATTTGAAATATTTTCATAAAACTGGTTAACATAGCCTTCACCTCATTTTCTTAGTTATTGTGTTAAGACGTTTATATTCTACACTTAGTAGACTTAATATGTACCCTTGTAAAATGTACCATAGGTGTGGTCCCACCAATTACTGTCCCTCCACCCATCCTCACCCTTTCCCTCCCCTCCCCGCCTCTTTCCCCTTCATCTTGGGCTGTAGTTGGGTTATAGCTTTCATATGGATAATGGGTCTTTTAAATCAAAACATTCCTTAACTCTTCTAGATATATTTCTTCATTAGAAATTTCTTATCTCTAAGTCAACTAAAATTAAAAG